ACTCGTGTAGACGCTCAGGGATTTGGTTTCGGACGAGCGGCGAGTGCGTGACTGAGCAACTCATTTCCCTTCCTCTTGCAACTCATCAGCCTTCGCCTCTGCAGGCTTCCACCTACGCCCAACAGGGTAGCAGACCGCTGCTATAGGTTCCAGGAGCCTCATCTGGTCTTTAAGGGGAGCAACACGTCGGACCTGTAATAATGATGGCTACGATGAGGATTCCTTAGGCAGCATCTGCGGCGGATCTAAAAGATCGGCAATGAGGTCACCAGGACTCCGGTAGCCCCGGAGAAGCTTCCTCAGGCTCAGGGGTGCACTGTTTCACAATTTGCCATCCCTGGAGCTTTTGGCGGCCATTAATGGCGGACCTTCTCCTGGGTGCAGTGAAGCTAAGGGAGAAGAGAGGCTGGCAAGGGCGCTACGGCGAGGAGGCCGGTTCTAACCGCCGGATATACTCCGACTGAGTTGAGATACGCGACACAGGTGGACGGAGGCGAACCTCGTCTGCTGGTGCGGCGAGATCTGGAAATGGGGAAAAGTGGGTTTCAACGGGCAGTGGTCTCCATCTGATGTTGCACGTTGCAACGCAGATGGTTCCAGGGATTCCTGGCGGCTCTGGCAGCTTCACTCTAGATCTGGGAACTCCCAGATCCCACCTTTCCCAGATTCTTCCTCCTCTCTGCCTTGCTCTAAAACCCAAATCTTCCAGAATCCATTTTTTTTGTTGTTTTCACTGAAAATCAGTCCATTTCGTATGAATTTTTTGTAGAACATCAAGAACACATGAATCTTTTTGAACTGATTCCCACAGACGGCCCCAGTGTTGAGTTTAATTCGCCACAGCCCGGAAGTTCAACACCCCTTCCGGGAGGGTTTCATGGCTATAGGGTGATAATAAAATATAAACAGTGAGTTTTGCGTGGAAACCCGGAAAGGGAGAAAACCACAGGACTGTTTAGGCTAATGTCCAAGCCCTCTCTTTCTCATTAAGACTCTCCTCACCATTACATTGTACAAGCTCCCATTAATGGAGTATTGAAGCTAAAAGGGAGATCCTTTATTAGGAGGGAGGTCCTCCTATTTATAGATGGAAGGGGGAAGGGGAGCTCTCCACCCTAACGGGCCTCTTGGGCCTAAACGGCCTCTTGGGCCTAGGCGAGCCGAATGGGCAGAAATGGGCCCAAAGGCCGAAAAAGGCCTGACAGTCTAAAATGGGCCTTACTGATAGGGTTCCGTACTACGTAAAGTCTTGGGCCCCTGAACAGTAATAGGCCGAGATGATATATCCCAACACAAATAATAAAATAATGACAATTAAATAGACTTAAAAACTATAGTTATCAAATCTGAAAAGAAAAAAAGAACGATATATTCATAACATTTTCGTAATGCCATAAAAATTAGATTTTTGTAATGCCATGAATAATGCCTTCGTGAAGTGCAGTAAATGTCGTGCAGTAACGCCTGCATAAAGTGCATTATTTTTAAGCAGATGAAAGTAGTGCAAAACGCACTTTAAAAAAGGGTATTTTCTCCCTTCAATACTTTAATATAACGTTAGTTTTTCCCTTTTTTTAGTCATGTAAATGTCTAAAAACAAATCTTATAATATTTCGGAAAATTCAATAAATTTTAGTCATATCCTAAAAACATTACAATTTAAATATTATTAGGCAAAGTTTATCCATGATCGAGTTCGAATTAGAATTGAATGAGTTTTGTCTAGAGTATTACTAAATTTAAATTAAAATAATAAAAGAGAATAAAAGTACAATTAAAAAGTCTTTCCAAGAACCATCATAGCCACTTTTATGAGCTGAAAATGCATTAAAAAACCATCAGTCATTTGATAAATAAATTATGTTTGGCACAACCGGTTGAAAAGATAATTTTATGAGCTTTTTAGTAAATGTTAGCTTTTAGTGACTGAAAAAATTATAAAGGAGGTAGTAATTGTTTGATAAAAAGCCGGCTATTTGATTCAGTTCTGTTTAATATACTAGTTGTTGGACGTGACCAATTATTGCTAATTAAAAGTCACAAACTTTTCTAAGATGCTACTTACTGTAGCATTTCAAAAAAGATCTTTTATTTTTGAAAAAGTTTTAAAACTTGGCATGTCAAACATACAACTAGAAGCTTTCAAAAACTTTTTAAATAATACAAAAGATAGAAGGTAGGGACTCATGCCTCACAAACATGCGCAAAATATCAATAATAAATGAATCTTGCATAGGGATAAATATTACTTGTAAGTACTCCCTCCGTCCCGCTAAGATTGTTCCATTTTACCTTTTTGGGAAGTCCCACTAAGATTGTCTCATACCAAATTTGGTAAAGATTGTGTGGCTCTAAACCATTCTTACTTTATTCTTACTTTATCGATTTAATATCAACCACACAAACCCACTTTTCTTAATAATCGTGCCATTTTCTTCCGTCTCAATCTTAGTGGGACGGAGATAGTAGTTTTTATCGTGTGTTATTGAAGTAATTAAACATTTACCGTGTAACCATTCATTTTCCTGCTAGTTTCTTACAATATGTTTAAATTATAGAGTTCTAAACAGATATTAGTTAAAGATCAAACAAAGGATCATGCATGAAGGAATTCCAAAAGATTGTGCAAAGTACAAGGGAACAAGACAACATGAAGCTAGAAATTCTGAGTTTTGTTTCTATACCTGGTCGGGTATAGGCAATACTCGATCGAGTGTTGACTCAATTTAGAAATCAAATCACATCGAGGAAAACAAATTAAAGTAACCTGTAGAGAAATTTTGAATCGGATTTCCCCTCATACCAGATCATGTATACCCACATACCCGGTCAGTTATAACTCTGATGCTGCATTTTCTAGGCTATTAGCACCCAAGGATACCATTTGAGTATCCTCTATAATCGACCGGGTATCTTATTTAGCTTCGCCATTCCTCTTATAAAAACACTTATTTCTCTTCCCATTAGATATCCATTATTCCTTATACTTAAGCTCACGACCCGATTCCTGACCTCTTTTAGGATCACGATTCATAAGCCTCTTGTACACTCACTCACACATTTGTAATACAAAGACTCAATGTGATAATATCACTTTGTATTAAACTACTGAAATGTACAAGGGAAATTTATAAGTAAATGGATAGCTCACTTCACTATTTGTATGATGGGCTGCTACCTCACTCTCACTCTCCTCTTTCATGGAGTCTCTCACTCACTCAATGCTTTGTGTCATTACTCAAGTAGGCTCTTACAAAGAAATGAGGAGTCTCATCCATATTTATACTGATCTCCTCAAAGTTTTTTATAGAACTCTTAATACACCATTACACTTCTAGAGTCATCTTAGCTTCCACTTCAAAAAGTATCTACCAATTTGTGTAATCCTCTGGAAGGATTTAGAGATCTCCACATTTATTCCAAGTGCTCTAGAGATTATTTTCTACACATTTCCACACGGTTCTAGAGGATTCCAAATTTCTATGGATCAGAAACTACACATTGTTCTAGATCAGAATATTCTGCACACGTGCACATACTTCTAGTAATTCCAACCTCTCAATAAAGAGAAAAGGATGGATTTACGGGAGTTTCATGCCTCCATTCCCAAAATACGAATGTCAGAATTAGGGTACGAATTTACGGGAAACGGAGTTGGCTAATCCGACTTTTCCTAGGGTTTTGGATGAGTTTCTAAGTTGGATGTAAAGGTAAGCCAGAGCTGTCAGAATCTCTTTTTTCGGATTCTCCTAATCCGACTTTGGGTTTTATTTTGGGTGAAAAACGGATTTAGTGAATCCGAAATTTTCAAAAGCAAAAAAACGAAATCGGATGTCAGGAGTGTAAGCCATGTTGTCAGGAGTGGTACTGTGGCAATGAAATTCGGATTTCACTAATCCGAAATATGAAGCTCCCGGATTGGCCAGAACAAGTTTACCCGGATCGTGCTTCTTCAATTCATTTTTCAACCGTAGGATTTAACAAACTCATCCCAATTGTCCATTGTTTTGCACGGAAATCCATACTCCCAATCTCAAACTTAACCTATTTAAATCACTTCAACATCATATTCAGCCTACTACCATAAAAATAAATTTAGTTACAAAAAACTATTGAGTGTTCTTGTTAATTCTATTCTCCGAGTTTTTCAAAGAAAGGTTAGAATTTAAATTATATATTTACTCTTTACCGTTAATTTTTTGTACTGTTTCAAAAATATTTCGAAAATCTTAATATTAATATGTAATTAATCTTAATTGCTATTAAGATTGTTGATATATGTCATACTAAATATATAACAATAGAAATAATTAGCCCACAACTTATAATTATTTGTAGTGTTTCCTTTACAGTAGTTAATTTATGTTGATAATGTAAGCACATTTACTGTTTTTCAATTACTCTAATTATTGGTTCACTAATATTTGTTACTAATGTATTAAATACTCCCACCGTCCCATAAAATTCTTCCCACTTTTTTTTTTGGACCGTCCCAAAAAATTCTTCCCACTTACCATTTTTGGACAATTTGTGTGGTTCACATTTATTTGACCTTTTTCTTACACAACTACAACCACACATTTCCACTTTATTCCACTTTCTTAATCTCCGTGTCAAGTTAAAGTCGGAAGAATTTTCTAGGACAGAGGGAGTACTAAATTAGTGTATATTGTAATTTGAGACTACATTGCGATTACAATTTAAATTTAGTTTAGTTAGTTGAACATTTTAATTTAGTCATCACTACTTATTTCCAAATAACATTATACTACGTAATATAATTTAGTTCATACTCCGTAACATTAATTATAATTGAGCCATAAAAGCGAACATAAATTATAATTACACTATACCGGTAAAATTTTCACAAGCTCGTCTAGAACTAGTCTTTTTCTAGTTTCTGGCAAATGTTATGTCTAGAACAGTGAGAATATTACTCAATGACAAGTCTAAAATTTGTATTGGTACATATAATATAATTGCACTATACTGGTACGATTTTCACAAGCTTTTCATTTGCCTTTTGGTGAGGTGGGCATCACCTTACAGGACGTAGAAGTGTTGTTGGGGTTGCCCATCGACGGAGAACCACTGTCCGGACCTAGGACGAACTCGAAAGCACTTTGGATCCAAATGTGCACGGACTTCGCCGGTTTCACGCCAAACAACAACGACTTAAACACATTTGTAATAAGAATGAATGCCCTACAACGTTGGCCGGTACATCAACATAGCACAAATGAGGAACTCATCACATACACGAGGGTGCTCATTTGGCAACTACTAGGTGGGTTATTGTTCCCCTCCACTACCGGGAACAAAATAAAAAATTGTACTTTTTAGAGTTGTTGCAGGGACCGCTCGGTGAAGCACGACGGTGGAGTTGGGGCTCAGCAGTATTGGGGTTCCTGTATTACAACATGTGCAAGGCCGCCAAAGCGAACAGGAGAAATATTGAGGGATGCTTGCTTCTATTGCAGATTTGGGCGTGGCAGAGATTGCCCATGGTGCGGCCGCGAAACGTTTTGCCATATGAGAATCTACAGGATATGCCCTATGGGTGCAGGTATAATTTGAAATTTTACATAATAAGTATTAGTATATTAAATATATTTGTAGGTCATGCTATAATAACTTATTTTTATGAAGGTGGGCATGTCGGCACAATTGGGAACAAAGTTCTCGGTATACTCTACGTATTTATCGAGATCAGTTGGACGGGATCCGAGAGAACGAGGTTATAATTAACAATATCATTTTAGTTTAATAGAAAATAAATATGTTTTTAAATTAACTTCAAATAATATTGATCCAGTTCGTGTGGCTCCCATACGCATTACAAGCCCTCCCCAGGTTCTGCGTCGCGGGAGTAGATTTGTATACATCTAATGTCATGCTTATATATTGTGACATTTCTGAGATGTACTACCCCGGTAGATTTTGTCGTCAATTCGGTGCAATGCAACATATTCCTCCCGCAGCAGAATCACAAGCTAGCCACCATGCAAGTGGTGCAAAAAATTCTGGATGGCCATTGACACTATGGGCGGCGAGGCACAATCGTCGTATCGCAATTGAGTTCGTTGATCATCCCACCTACACTCCTGCGTACCGTGAATGGTACGCAGATGTCGGGAAACGACGGATTTACAATCCGTTACATGGTCGACCTACAACGGGTTATGTAACTACTAACAGGGAGACAAGTACACTAGTAAGTATTTTATGTGTAATTATTCATCTTAGAAATGTTTATTATTATTTAATAACTTTACTTTTGAATTTTAGATGCAATGTATGGGCGATATCTATCGGCGCATGGCAGCTCCATTTGACGTCGAAGACATCCGCGAGCAAATTGCACGATGCCTTACAGGATTAGGTGCCGAGAATGTGCTTCATCAAGACATCATTTTCTATGGGGATGCCCATGATGATGCAATGGATGATCATCCTCCACTTCGGCAAGACCGTAGAAGAGTCGCGGCCACTAGAGGTCGGCGTTACGAACGCGGTTATGTTGCTCCACACGTCGACAATGATGATGGTGATGATGATAATCACGATGATGATAATGATGATGAGGAGGAGGAGGAAGAGGATGGCGAAGATGGTGGTGAAGAAGAAGGACAACCATCTTCACATATTCATTCACACATCCCTTCCCCATCTCATGTACCTAATCAATACTCTACATCGACTAGTGCATACATTTCGACGTTTGATGCGTCAACGTTTATTCCACATGTACAACCTACATATGAGACACGTCCCACCTTTTTAAATTCACCAATTGATTGGTTGAACAACTTATTAGGATCAGATGTACAGAGTGGGATGGGGCAAGAAGCAGGACCAAGCACACAACCGCCAATTGAACATAGGCTGAGACGGGATATACATTCTCGACGCTGTGGGACAGGGAGTCACTTCGTGGTGCCAGGTCGACACTATGAATCTGATGAATCAGAATAGTTGTATGTAATTAGTTTTATCAATTATGAATTGAATTTGTACTTTTAAATTATCAATCGAATTTGATATTATGTTATTATTATCAGGTACTTTCACTATTACGTTTCAATAATTCAATAATTCAATTGATAATTTTGAATTAACTTATCAATTGAATTTGTAATTTGTAGTAATTTGTACTAATTTGTAGTCCTAAGCTTAAACTTTACTATTATGTACGGAGTACTTATTATTCGAAATTTTACTTTTTTTTCAACATTCAATAAATATCCCTTTCAACATTCAATTAATTTGTACTTTTCAAATTTTTTTCATCATTCGAACCACCCTATCACTTCGGTAACCAATAATTCTACAATTTTGATCGCAATAACACCTAAACTCACTCCCAATTATCAATAATTTTGATCTAAAAAAATTATTTCGGGTACAAAAGTGTACAGATTCCACTCATTTTAAATTAAATCAATCAACTTTTAATTTTTCTGCCAGATTCCATGTCACTTCGGGAATCAATAATTCTACACAACATTCAATTTTTTTTCACTCACTTATTGTTCGAAATAATTTCAACCACTTCTCCCAACCACTTGCACCCACCTAAACCCACTCCCAACTATCAATAATTTTGATCTAAAAAAAATATTCCGGTTACAAAAGTGTATCGATTCCACTCACTTTAAATTAAATCAATCAATTTTTTATTTTTCTGACAGATTCCCTGTCACTTCGGGAATCAATAATTCTACACAAAATTCAATTTTTTTCAACCACTTATTATTCAAAATAATTTCAGCCACTTCTCCCAACCACTTGCACCCACCTAAACCCACTCCCAACTATCAATAATTTTGATCTAAAAAAAATATTCCGAGTACAAAAGTGTACAGATTCCACTCACTTTAAATTAAATCAATCAACTTTTAATTTTTGTGACAGATTCCTTGTCACTTCGGGAATCAATAATTCTACACAACATTCAATTTTTTTTCAATCACTTATTGTTCTAAATAATTTCAACCACTTCTCCCAACCACTTGCACCCACCTAAACCCACTCCCAACTATCAATAATTTTGATCTAAAAAAAATATTTCGGGTACAAAAGTGTACAGATTCCACTCACTTTAAATTAAATCAATCAACATTTAATTTTTCTGACAGATTCCCTGTCACTTCGGGAATCAATAATTCTACACAACATTCAATTTTTTTTCAATCACTTATTGTTCGAAATAATTTCAACCACTTCTCCCAACTACTTGCACCCACCTAAACCCACTCCCAACTATCAATAATTTTGATCTAAAAAAAAATTCGGGTACAAAAGTGTATAGATTCCACTCACTTTAATTTAAATCAATCAATTTTGTATTTTTCTGACAGATTCCCTGTCACTTCGGGAATCAATAATTCTACACAAAATTCAATTTTTTTCAACCACTTATTATTCGAAATAATTTCAACCACTTCTCCCAACCACTTCCACACACCTAAACTCACTCCCAACAACCAATAATTTTGATCTAAAAAATATATCTCGGGTACAAAAGTGTACAGATTCCACTCACTTTAAATTAAATCAATTAACTTTTAATTTTTCTGACAGATTCCCTGTCACTTCGGGAATCAATTATTCCTACACAACATTCAATTTTTTTTCAATCACTTATTGTTCGAAATAATTTCAACCACTTCTCCCAATCACTTGCACCCACCTAAACCCACTCCCAACAACCAATAATTTTTTCAAACACTTCCTCTCAATCACTTACCCAAATACTCATAACTACTATTATTAAAGAAATTACACACATCTTTCCTAGGAAGTACTAATTTTTTTTTTACTATAAAAGGCTCATCACTATCCTCAGTCACCATATTCTTGCTATCTATTTATCACCTTAGAGTTCCTAGCTATCTATCATCAACTCCCTAGATTTCCTACGATAGATATTACTTACCATATACAAAAAAATGGCAACTGAGCATAACACTCCAGTTTGTGTCCACTGGAATGGTTCTATTATTATGAAAGATGATGAAGTAGAGTATTCCATTCCTCCGAGCGCAGCGCTATTAATCAGCAATGACGATGGCTTTAACGCTATAAACGAGCGGATTGTCGAAGAGTGTGCGCAGAGAGGTTTTGGAGAAATTGTATCCATTCACGGAAAATTACCAAAGTACAAAAATCGTGTGTATGTGGCATCAAGACTGTGGCCCATCCATGATGATGATACTTGGAAGCACTTTTCCCGACTTGCTGAAAGAGAGTATGGAGAATTACATATTTTCCTGGATGCATGAAGAACCTCTATAGTCCAACCACAAATTTCAACATATGGATGAGGTGACACCCACAATTGTGAAACTTTTCACAATATCCACTCCAACGATGACGGACCATCAACGAGATACGACGGACGCTACAACCCGCATACTGTTGAACATGAAGATGGCCCTTCAACAGCATATGAAGAGGAAGATGATCCAGATTATGAACAATTTTCTGGAAATGACGATGCAACAACAAATTCTGACGATAGTGATGACTCTCTTGACACAACATGGGCCGATATTGAGCTGGAACAACCATATGTTGAACCAGCGAATCGTGATAATGAAACTATTGCGGTCGGCAAAATATACGATTCATACGACTTACTGAAAGAAGCCGTAGCAATAGAAAATATTCGGCAATCTCGAATTTTTAAGACAGAAGACAAACGTGTGAGATCGTGGAAGGCAGTTTGCATCTATGATGACATGTGTATGTGGCACATTCAGGCGGGAAACCTTCTCAACACCAATTTGTGGAAGGTGAAAAAATATCAACCACTACACAACTGCAGAGTGGATTATAAAAGATCCCGTAATGACAGGCTTATGACGAGCAAGATCATAACGAGTGTAATTGCTACAAAAGTGCATGTTGATCCGGACTACAGCATTAAACTCGTGATGCAAGACATATACGACAAATTCAGAATCAATGTCAAGTACAAAAAGGCGTGATATGGACGTTTGATTGCCCTTGAACGAAGATTCGGGAACTGGGAGGCGGCCTACAATGATTTACCCAATTTGTTGCTTGCGATAAGAGAATCAAATCCGGGGTCAGTGGTAGATTTCCAACCAAAACCAACCAGTCATGATGGTACGTATGAATTTCATCGTGCGTTTTGGGCTTTTAAAGCTTCCATTGATGGGTTTGAACACTGTCTGCCCGTAGTATCTGTTGACGGTACTCACTTGTACGGAAAGTTCAAGGGCCATCTCCTGGTTGCAGTCGCCATGAATGCTAACCGTGAGATTTTCCCTCCCGCGTACGCAGTTGTGGAAAGTGAAAACACAAATAGTTGGTCCTGGTTTTTGGAACACATTATGACTTATGTTGTCAGACCAAATCGGCATGTGTGCATAATATCAGATTGACACCCTGGCATCCTAAGTGCCTATCAATCAGTACCTCAATTGAAAACCTCCCAAGTTTCGAAGCGGTTCTGCCTCCGACACATTAGAAGCAATTTCATGACAAAATTCAGGAGCACTGAACTGAAAAAGCTCTGTTGGCAGGCCGGGAGTACACCCATGGTGAGTGAATTTTACCAAACAATGGCTCAAATTCGTGCTACGAATGAGAATGCGTTCACGTATTTGAACGTTATTCCACGTGAAAATTGGGCACTGTGCTTCGACGATGGACGACGTTACGGCATCCTCACAACAAATCTTTCTGAGAGCTTCAATAACGTTCTAAAGGGATGTCGAACACTTCCAATCACCGCGCTGGTTAAGGCAACTTATAACAAAGTTGTCCAACTATTTGCCGATCGACGTAGGGCCGGTCAGATGTGGCGGCAAGCTGGGTTCCTATATCCGCAAAATATATGGAAAGATATTCTTGAATGTTCGCAGAAAAGACATTAGTGCACTATTGTCCTGCATAACCGAACAACAGGAATATACTCTGTTTCCATCCGTGATTATCCACCGGTAACGGTAAATCTCTCACGTTGCGAATGTGATTGCGGTTTTTGGAAGCAAAATGGATTTCCATGTGTGCACGCCTATGCAACATGGCATTTCTTAGAAATAACTGTAGATCATCTCATCCCGGGCGTGTATAAATTAGGTGCGTACATCCGTACGTATGCTACAGATATTATGCCTATGCATGACGTAAGTGCGATGCCTGATACCAGATATGTAGTGATACCGCCTCAAAGTGCTCGACGCAGTCAAACCGGTAGGCCTCAAAGGACACGATTTACAAATGAAATGGATATGCGTCCAAGTAGGAAAGCACAAGAGTAAAAATGTATATGTATTTTGTAACTCATTTTCAATGAATAAAAAATTGTATTTCTTTGTCATGTTGTTGTTCAAGAAGAAATGAGTAATGAAATATTTATATTATTTATTTTTGCAGGAACATTGAATAAATTCGTAATACAATATAATTAAATATGTATATTCACTATTACAATCTCTTACATAACAATTGATTATTTCTTATTTAATAAAATAATACACATCTTTCCAACTATAAATATCACTAAATTATTTATTTTTGTACATATTATGCTTCATATGCTCTATTATTTATCCCACTCACAAATTTTTATTGAAATATTTGTGTTTTCCTCTTTGAAAAAAATGTAACTAACCAATCTAAAAAATCTAAGAAATCTATTAAAAAAATTAAAAAATTAAATAATTCGTTTTTTAACATTCCCTACACCTCCCGCAGCATCTTCCAGCAGTTTGCAAAAAAATTAAAACCATATTTCGGATTCATCTAATCCGTTTTTTAACTTCCCACCTAAACCCTGCATATTTCGGATTCATGGAACACGTTTCCCGTTTTTTTAGAAACCCTAAAAAAAGTCCCGCATTTCGGCAACCCATGCGCGACACTCCCGTAAAAAAAGAAATCACCCCTCAATAAAACTCCAAAATATTCTCAAACATCTAGAGAGTTCTAGACATCTCTGCAAAATTCTAGAATTCTTATGAACAACTGATTCATCTAGACAAAATATGGGACTTTGAGATCGAGTATCATA